CTAGAGAGAATGTAACAAGTTGAGGATGTGAGCAGCTAATCTTTGCAAAAGACAATTTTCTCTGTAAATTATATCACAGCATTCTGGTTGTAGCAGGTTTTTTTTTCCTTTTTTCTTTTCTTTCTTACTCTTTTTTAAAAGAATCTGATTGATATGAGTTTACCTAGAACAACAGTGTCGCTTAGTAATGGATCAACAAATCAGTTTTTGAAATCGATAAGGTATCCTGAGTGGTAGTAATTCAACAATTTAATGCCTTCAGGGAGCCAGCAGATCTTTTCAGGTCATACTCTGCCTCCTGCCCAGCTATCTTTGAAAAACAAAGACAGCTAGCACTCACTGAGGATATCCTAAGTAGAAGTCATTTGTACCTATGCTTAATTACAACCCTATGACATATTTGACAAGTTGTTTAGAAAAGTAGAATTGGCCATGTGCAAACTTTGTTATTTTCAATTGAGGTGGTTAAAGTGTGTCCAATTCAGTCAGTACATTTAGAAGGCAGAAGATATATAGGGTTGGTGGGGATGTAGCTCAGTGAAAGTCGCTTTCCCAACATGCCAATAAGGCCATGGGTTCAACCCTCAATATGCAAAAGAAAAAGAAAAAAAAAAAAAGAAGACACAATGTAAAGGTAGTTGATCAAAACACATCTGTGTTTTTCAAAAGTAAGAGTATACTGAGGCAGGATATTTATCTAGAAGGAAATGCAATAATTTGGTATTTTTCATTTATTATGACACTTAATTTGTAATTTACCCTCCCCCCACCAGAAAACTTCCCAGGCTACTTCAGGGACCAGGGACATCACCATGACTTGAGAAGTGGTTAGAAATGCCAGTCTTCAGACCCCAGACCAGATCTAGATTCACAATGGGTACTGAACACCATGGTCAGAGTGATTAAATGCATATTGCAGTTGTCAAAGCTCTGCTCTAACCTAGTATACTCCAGAGGCAGCATTTTGTTGAACAGAATTCCTAGCACGTGTCCCGGTTCCTGAAGTCTTTCACCAGGTGGCAACCCGCCAACCTCCCCGCCCTTCCCTCAGCTGCCTAGTGTTGTTCCAAGCTGGGGTTAAACTCCGAGCTCCGCTGGAAGAAGGTCCTGAGCTTGCAGGCCGCTGTGGGGGCCGTGCTGGGAGGCAGGGCCCAGGCCTGCCCAATGGACTCTCGCGGAGGCTGGGCGGGACTCTTATTTCAGCCGCCTTCCAGACTGCAGGCGCGTCACGCGTCCGGGACTCAGGATGTGGCATTTTGCTCGCGCGCTTTGTGTGAACGCTGCAAAGAACAGCAAGCTTCTAGGACTTTGGAACAGGCCTGCTGCCTTCATGTCCACTCTGCTGATCAATCAGCCCCATTATACTTGGCTGAAGGAGCTGGGGCTCCGCGAGGAAAACGAGGGCGTGTATAATGGAAGCTGGGGCGGCCAGGGAGAGGTATGCGGCCCCTGGAGAAATCTCTGCCGCTGGGGTTTGCTGGGGAGGCTGGGCAGGCTCTGCCTTACCCGACTCCCGCTGGCCCTGGCGGCGGATGTACTGGATGGGACGTTTTGAAGCTACACAGAGTGCCTTTACAAGTAAAATCAAAACCAAAAATAGAACAATCCTTAGATTTTTAGGTCTTTGCGTGCCACGAAGAATCCAAGCCATTTTGGAGCTGGTAGGAGGCTAGATCCACTCATACTTAAAACCTTATGGCAGCGTCTTGCTTGGGATTTGTAGTGAGAGACGCCACACACTTTGCTGAGCAGTTGATCTTAATTATGAGCACGACTGTAGCTCTTAAAAAGTAACGGTGTAGTTTTATGTTGTCCTTTTTATTGGTCTTTTCTTTTTGGTACTGGAATTGAACCCGGGGTATTTCCCCCATGAGCTATATATCTCCAGTTCCTTTTTATTTTTGAGACATGGTCTCACTGAGTTGCTGAGGCTGACATGGAATTTGGGGTCCTCCTGCCTCAGCCTCCTAAGTGACTGGAATTACAGGCGTACACTACCGTGCCAGGTTTATGTCCTCTTTCTGAACTCCGGTGGACAAGGTTTTACTTGCTAAAAACGTGTGAACTTCTTTAAAAATGGGATTTCCAGCATTTCTCTATTACGCAGAGTTTGACACCGTGCCTGGCACCTTTAGTCTTCAAAAATATGTTTTATAGAATGCAATGAAAAGGTAAGGTTATTATGCTGCTCCCCTCTCCCCTTTTTTTGGAAAAAATGTGGCCTACAAAAGGAAGCTTTTATAGGAAAATGTTATGTAACCTTCAGTTCAGGTGACTATTTAATAAATAAACTGCTTTGATAGAGGAAATATATTTTTCATTTATCTGTGGCAGTAGGAGATGCAGGTAATTTTAATTGTTCTCCAGATTTCATTCAATGGTAGTTTTCTTCTTTTTTTTTTTTTTCCTAATCATTAGGCTCTTCCATTAAATACTCTCTCCTGATGGCTTTTTTTTTTTAAAGAGAGAGTGAGAGACAGTGAGAGAGAGGGAGAGATAGAGAGAATTTTTAATATTTATTTTTTAGTATTTGGCAGACACAACATCTTTGTATGTGGTGCTGAGGATGGAACCTGGGCCGCACACATGTCAGACAAGCGAGCTACTGCTTGAGCTACTGCTTGAGCCACCGCTTGAGCCACATCCCCAGTCCCTCCTGATGGCCTTTTAATTGTACATTGTTTTTTTTTTTTTTTTTTCCCCTAATCAACCTGAAACCTCTCCAGTTTGTGTGGACATAGGCTTTGGTCATAGTCATCTAGAGTTTACTATTTCATATTCAGACCAGAGGGTGGGCGGAATAAGGGAGAGAAGGAATGAGTAAAACTTTGTTAGTTTGGTCTGATAATTGAAAAAGAGTTGAAATAACTTGTCACATTAAGGCCTTTGTTTGTATACCTAATATTTAGATGGCAAGGGTGGGTTTTAGGGAAAGTTGGTTCCTAATGAAAGGCCTATCTCTGTAGAGTCTGTGTCCCCCCCCCCCCCCTTTGTACTGGGACAAGTCCAGGGTCTCACATACGTGAAGCAATTGCTCTGCCACTGAACTACATCCTCAGTCCTTTAAATTGTTGAGAGAGGATAGAGGATCTTGTTCAGTTACCCAGGCTGACCTCTAACTTGTGATTTTAGTACCTGGGATTACAGGTGTGTGCCACCATGCTGTAGAGTGGTTTTGTCACAGGGCCACATGTCTCCGGATAGGGGTGTTAGGAAGGGAAATTTAACTCGGAACCAGCAGGGTTCTTGGCATATGTGACAGTAAAGACTTTTGGCATGAGCCAGACAAAGGCATAGACAGAGGTTTATTTAGAAAGTGGATACACATTCAAGGGACAATGAAGGCTATCTTGAGAGTGAGAAGCCCAGTCTGGGACTGGGGGTCCAATATTTATAGAAGGGTTGTATCAGTGGCTGGACTGGAGGTGGAGCCAGGGTGGAGCTGCATAATTTTGTGCCATTTTTTCCTTGTACTTGCATAGTTCCCTCATTTACAAGGGCAAGGGCCAAAGGCCTGTTGGTTAAAATTTACAGCTATGCTTTCTGCATCTCAGTAGCTCATGGTTGTTTCTTTTAAGACTTAATTTCTCTCTCTCTTTATACTGAATCTGACTCATTTTAATTGTAACAATGTAAAGTATTCTATCTTGGACATTGTATCTGCTCCCTCTCCCCATGTTTCTTCTTCAGTCTGTTCCCTCAATTTGGAAGGAATTGTGATTTCTGTAAATAATGGTCATTTATTTTGGGTTTTGTTTTTAGGTTATTACAACCTATTGTCCTGCTAACAATGAACCAATAGCAAGAGTCCGGCAGGTAAGCTTTTAAAATTCAAACTGTTCACAGGGAGTTTTTGCAAACTTTCTTTAGAGATAGAATCCTATTAGGCAGGTCAAGAGCAATACAAATATACAAATGCAAAGAATAAGGTGTTTCTGTTTCATTTGACATTAAAGAATATCTGGGAGAGACTATCTACTTTTAGGGTGGGTATGGCATGTCCTAGAGAAGGTGAACCCTAGAGAGGACTAAGGAGTTTCATTTAACACCACGCTTCTCTATCTCCTGAGGGTTTTTGTTAGAATATAGTTTCTGATTCCTTAAGTCTGGGTTGGAGCCCGAGGTCTTCGCTTCTAACACAGGTCAGGTGATTTGCTCAGATAAAACCAGTGGACCTTGCTTTGAAAATCAAGGTTTTAAAGCAGAGCTGGAGTCCATCCTATCTTCCTGGGTTCTGGCCAGATTTTGAAAGCTCGGACTGTAAAAATCATCCTCAATCATATATCTCAGGGATATCCGGACACTTTCCAGTTTGTATCCAAAAATGTCTCTGTGTTCTTGAAGAAGGTCATCACCTTCCTTTACTGTTTCCTTTTTCCCTCCTCCTAATTCTTTTTTTCCGCCCTCCTAATTCTTAATGTAGGCCAGTGTGGCAGACTATGAAGAAACTATAAAGAAAGCAAGAGAAGCTTGGAAAGTCTGGGCAGATGTAAGTATGTTATTTGTGGTCTAAAGCACAGAAGAGGTCCTTTCTTAATTGTGATGAGATAAACAAACATCTGATCAGCAAGTCACTGCCTCTCACTTGAAAGTGGGCTGCTTGAGGCTGTGATGCTGAAATTGGAGCAGCAATTTGTCTCCACTCAATTTCTAAGAATTTTCTGTGTTTGGCATTCATTGAATGCATAATTTTATTTGAAAAATAAAAAAAAATCTTTTTATTTAAAAAAAATTTTAGTTGTAGATGAACATAATACCTTTATTTACATTACATTACATTATTTAATTCACATTTACATTATTTTATTCATTTACATTATAATACATTATTTATGTATTTTTTTAATGTGGAGCGGAGAATCGAACCCAGTGCCTCACATGTGCTGGACAAGTGCTTTACCACTGAGCTACAACCCCAGCCCCTGAATTAGTTATTTTAAATGGATTAAAATTTTGTATTTATGCAGTATGAACTTCAGCTACAAATATTATCCTCTGAAGTTATAAGTAAGCAAGTAGAAAAAGAATGTAAGATCTTTTTAAAAAAATACTTATTTGTTTCTTTTTGTCCCTCCTGCCAGATTGACCTGGGAAGGATGCAGTAGGTCAGTATGCCTAGCCTCAAGAGCAACCACAACATCTCTATCTCAGGGCAAGGGGTTGTAGGCAGAGTCTAAATCTCTATCAGGGGTCAAATTAGCAAACATGAGAACCGTGTCTGGTCTGGGCGGGCCCACACTGACCCAGTAGGGGCTGGCTCCTGAGGAGGGGAAAGTAAAGGAGAGCAGGGATAGTTTGGATTTCTCCATTTCCCTCTGCCCTCCATCTTCAGAGTGCTTTGTCATATAAAGGGGAGGCTATGAATGCCATCTTCTGAGGTTGTCCTGAGAGTTGAGTTTATTACTTAAAGTGCTTATAGGAAAGTCTGATATATAGCAAGTTCCAGTGTGTTATAAAACCATATGCTGCTGACACTGAGACTGCTGAGCCTCAGTGTTTTCTCTGAGTTAGTAATTGCAAAGAGAGTTGGGGCTGGCAGGTAGGAGGGGGCAGACTCCTGGGTTGTATACACAGTTGTCCTCGGCTAAGATCATCTTTCTGCAAAACATGGAAAACATCTTTCCTCTACTTTTATTCTGGATGTAAGTAGGCTGAGGGTTCCACTTTATGCAATAAAAAATAAGCAGAAAAATACCACTTACACAAGTTAACAGTTTCCTAAGTAAAGTTCACATATCTGAGTGATGTCCCAAACAGTATCATTTAAGATTACATTTTCTAATTGTAGAAATAATACATCTTATTTAAAAAAAAAAAAGATCTCCGCATGAGGGTACACACCTATAATTCCAGCTGCAAATAGGGAGATAAGGGAGAAAGATTTCAAGTTTGAGGCCCGCATGGGCAATTTAGCAGAACCCTATCTTAAAATTTAAAAAAGGGCTGAGGTTATAGTTTAGCAGCAGAGCACTTGCTTATCATGCAAGAATCTTTGGGTTTAATCCCTGGCATGCCACCTGCCACCAAAAAAAAAAAAGTTTGTTGTTAGTATTATTTTGCTGTGACAAAATACTAGAGAAAATCAACTTAAAAGAAGAAAAATTTGGGGCTGAGGTTGTGGCTCAGTGGTAGAGCGCTTGCCTCACATGTGCAAGACCCTGGGTTCGATCCTCAGTACCACATAAAAATAAATAAGTGAAATAAAGGTATTGTGTCCAACTATAAGTAAAACAAGTACAATAAATATATTTGAAAAAAAAAGAAGAAAGATTTGTTTTGGCTTATGGGTTCAGAGGTTTCATTCCATGGCCTGCTGGCACCATTTTTTTATGTAAGTCAGATCATCGTGGTGGGGAACACATGATGGAGCAAAGCTATTCACCTTGCAGTTAAGAATTAGAAAAAGAGACAGAGCCCAGGTTTCTCTTTCAAGGGCATGACTCCAGTGATCTACCTCTAACTAGGCTCTAGTCCTAAAATTTCTCCCACCTCCCAATAGCATCACTAACTGAGAATCAAGCCTTCAACATGTAAGCCTTTGGAAGACATTTCAGATCCAAAGTATAATAAAATAATCGTATTTAGCCAGGCATGATGGCATACTCCCTGTTGCTCGGGAGGCTGAGGAAGGAGAATCAGCAGTTCAAAACCAGCATCAGCAAAAGTGAGACACTAAGTAACTCCGTGAGACCCTGTCACTAAATAAAAATACAAAATAGGCTGGGGATGTGGCTCAATGGTCAAGCGCCCCTGAGTTCAGTTCCTGGTACTTCCCCCCAACCCCTGAATCCCAACCTCCTCAATACAGAGAGGCCATTTGAATTGTGTTTTGGTGCATTTTCTTCCAGGCTTGTATATTTACTCCATAGTTGTGATTATTATACATACATATATATAT